TAAGAGCAGCAAGAAAAATAAGGCAACTTGAGACTTCATAGATTTTTTTAAATCATGTGAGGTACCACTGCACATTTCAGCAAATAGGAAAATTACCACTCTGTGCTCTTTTCCAGTCTCAGCTGCAGAAACCGGTTACAGGCTCCTGTCACCCCCAAACAACAGATCCACCAGGAACAGGAACTCGGCAGACGCTGATAGAGGGAATTTTAATTTAATCTACTGCCATAAATTACACAAATGTGTCCATGCCTTGGAAGATCCCTGGAGGGGATGTTTCTTCAGAAATAAAAAGGAAATGTGATTTGGAAAAAACGCATTTTAGCTAATTATCTCTCTGCACAAGGAAGCTAAGGTTGCCGTAAAAATAAATGTTGCACTCTAGACTGCAGCCCAGGGAGAGACACGCCTGTAATCTCCTCATTGCTTTGGCTGTCAGAATGGAACCACTCAGACTTCTGATGAGAATCACCCCAAATTATAAGGCAGGGGCTGGCATCGCCCTGCATGGTATTAATCTATTAGACCGCGCTGCAATTTGCAACCCAGCCGTACTACAATAAATACAGATTCGGCAAATCCTCCACTCAGGAGTGAGAGGGGCTCTCAGAAACCAGGGCAGGAAATGTTAGTAAGGCAGTTCCAGGAAGTACAGAGGAAAATATCTGTCTCCTTTGCCCCATTCCAGATCTTTCAGGCCAAGGCCAGTTCTTTGCTGGGATTTCGTTGCAAGCACTTACATTATTTCTGGGTGGGAATTTAAAAAGGACCTAATAGGCTAGAGATTTTGCAAAATACATTCAGCAAAACTTCACTTAATTGAAATTCCTCTAATATAAAATCAAAATATATTGACTGTGGAGATGACGCATCCATTTGTCTGACAACATTTGACTGACAACCATGTAATGGCAGACGCTCGAAGATTCATCCTGGAGTGATGACCCCAATTCTTAGGTGTTCCCTGGACATCTTACAAGTTAGGAGCTCTGCTAAGTCTACAAGTTCAGTTCAGCCAAAGAAACCAGTCAACTTGTCATTCTTGTACCGAGTCTTTGGACAGATGGAAATTTAAATCACCTTCACAAAACTATCATCTTCTATTTAAGAAATATCTGCTGACAGTCTGGGATTGCCTGGTGCTCAGTGTGAATATGTGTGTGTGTGTGTGTGTGTGTGTGTGTGTGCGTGCACATACGTTTTCAGACACACACTCATATATACAAATATATACATATATATATATGTATGTATGTATGAATAAATCTTCCCACAATTTCATCATCTCCCCCGGAAGCCTTCCAGCTTCACTCTCCCACCCTGACCTAGTCAGCATTGCTGTCAAGCTGTCGCTGTGCTGATCTGGCTGGCTTGGAACTCACTAGGAAGACAGGCTGGCCGACAGCTCATGAAGATCTGCGTGCTGCATGCTGGGATTAAAGGTGTACACCACCACACCCAACTTCTGCCTGATTCACTTTTAATTTAAGTTTATTTTATCCTCATTAGAGAGCATGTCCTCATCATAAGAAATCTGGAAAACAAAGAGAAATAGAATAAGGGGGGTAAGTCATCCACAGTCCCACCAAGTAAAATAACTCATAAAATATTTAGTGTACTCAGTTGAAATGTTTTACATAACTGCAGTAATGTGTAAGAAAGCATCCTGAAAAATACACAGTACCATCGACCAGCTAGAACTCCTGAATACAATAATTACCTGATAATAACAAATATGTAATCTTCTCAGATTCTCATGGAACATTCTCCAGAGCAAAACATATATAAAGGGACTGGTGCCGCAACTCACTGGGTAAAGAAATCTATGGCTGTGCCTGAGTTCACTCCCTGGAACCCATGTGATGTGAGGGAGAGAACCGACTCTGGTAGTTACCCTTTGACCTCTACACCTGTGTCATAGCATGTAGAGTACACAGGTACACACACACACACGTATACACACACACACACACACACACACAAATTAGAGTAATTTAAAAATGTACTATACAAAGGGCGAGGGAGACAGCTCAGTGGGCGAAGGGCTTGCTGTACCAATCTAAGGGCCCAAGACTGGGTGCCCGGCGCCCATGGCAGCACAGGTGAGAAACCCTATACCTGGAGCATGCAGGGCAGACAGGAGAGCGCTGGTCTCACCAGCAGCCAGCCTGCTAACAGTAGGCATTTTAGTCATTTTAGTCATTAGGCATCTGATGAGAGACCATCAAAATGTAAGGTAGAAAGCAATAGAGGAGCACCTCAGACTTTTGTTCCCTTACACAGACATGCGCACACCCTCTCTTTTTTCCTTTTATTTTCTGTGTGATCTCTCATGCCCAAACCCACATATTAGCAGAATTTTCTGTGTTGCCGTTTAAATTTTTTTTTACATTTTACTTGTTATTTTCTCTAATACGTTACTCTAATATTGTTTACATATTTTTCCTCTCTTGGAAAAATCTTTTTTTCTCTCTCCTTGGGTTGTTTTTTAGTTCCCTGCCCCTCTGTTTCTCCTCCTTTCCTCTTTCCACATGTAACAGCTCTGTGCAATGGATTTCTTTCCCATACGCTCATGTTTTTGTTCTTTTAAAAAAAATTTTCATTACTGGGATTTTTTAAGTTTTATTTTATGTGCATGTATGTGCATGTCTGCGTGTGTGTATGCCACATTTATGCAGTGCCATGGAGTTCAGAAGACAGCATCAAATCCCTTGAAGCTGAGGTTACAAGAGGTTGTGATCACCTAATGTGGGTGCTGAGAATCGAACTTCCGTCTTCTGGAAGAGCCGCAAATGCTCTTAATGGTTGAAACATCTCACCAGCTTGGAGAATATTTCATTTTTGCTTTCCTTTTTATTTTCCTTTCTTGCTTTTCCCACACCCCACCTATACCATTCTCCGTTTCTCTTCCTCCTTCTCCTTCAGTCTAGTCAGCCTTGTGTTTTCCTTCTCTCCCCTTCCCAGTCTCCTTCCTCCTCTCAGTCACTGGTTAGGTCCACGTTTTCCATGAGCAGCACCGGGAGCTGAGCCTTCCAGGGTAGATGCACAGACAGTGGGCTGCCTCGCCTCAAATTCAGCACAGCTGCCCAAGGCAGCAGACGCACAAACCACCGCATACATGCAAGAAATGGAAAACAACAAGGGACAGCAACTCTTCAGCAACTTTACTCAAGATACTGAAGGAAGTAAAATGCCACATTAAGTTTTTGTGTTTGGTTTGTCTGTCTTTGGGTTTGTTTTGGATAAAAATAATCAGCTGGGGGACAGAGAGATGGTTCGTGAGCTAAGAATCCTTACTACTGTTGTAGAGGACCCGGGGTCAGTTCCCAACACACACACAGCAACTCACCACTATCTACAGTTCCAGATTCAGGGGATATGATTCCTTTTCACACCTCTTCCGGCTCCCGCATGCACATCATACCCATACGTACACTCACACACACACATGTGCATATACATATAAATAAATAATTTTTAAAAGACCATTGAACTGGAAAAGAATACTAACATGAATTCAATCCTTCAGACCCCAGAGAAGAAAGCCAACAATATAAAGGGGAAAGTCAGTAAACAGTAAACTGGGTGAGAAAAACCAACAACATGGATGTGAAAGTCAGTGACCTAGGGAAAAAAAAGTGTATTCATATCTATCAATTTACTTATTGATTCCATTCAGGTTGTGCTACTTTTGTTCTGTTTTTATCACTCAGTGCATCTGTGTGTGTGTGTGTGTGTGTGTGTGTGTGTGTGTGTGTTTCTCTTCTTTCTATAGGGTTCAAAATTCTTTGAACCAAACATAAAAGTTGCAGCAAAACTGTATTTTGTTTGACAATAAAAAGGTCTTTATGTTGCATTAAACATACTGGTTGGGGAAAATACATTTCTTTCTTAGTTCTAAATTATCAGCCCGTGGCTATATCTTTGTTTTCAGACGTGTACGCAGAATATAAACTCCAGAGGCTGGAGCGACGGCTTGGTGGTTAAGAGCCCTGATTGCTCTGCAGAGGATGTGGCTTTGGTTACCAGAGTCCACATCAGGGGACTCACAACTGTCTGTAACTTCAATTCCAGCGTCTCCAAAGCTTGGTGGCCTCCATGGGGAGTGGCATGCGTGTAGTTCACATAAACGCATGTAGGTACACATTTGTACACTTAAGTAAAAACAGTAGCAAATAGTTTTTAAAAACTACATATCTCAAGCACTCACCAAGCAAAGATTTCTATTGCACACATCCTGAGGTCATTGTATGCACAGACATACTTCCTTACAGGAAGTTAGCATGGAGAAGAAGGTGGCTGAGGGGGCATTGCCAGTCACACTGTACCTGTGACTCCAAAAGTCCTCTGACAAAAAAAGACCCCAGCTGGGATTCAGGATCAGAGCTCAGCCATGTTTGGGGTCAGGCTGAGATCAGAATCACAATTCCTCTCTGCTGATTCTGGTAAGCTGAAACCAGTTTATCTGGGGGGCAGGGAGGATAAGAAGGGACTTGAATGAAATGGTTTCTGAACTTTTACCTTGGCTGAGAATAAATTTGTATTGATCTCATACCCAATGGATAATTGTTTATTTTAAATGTTTGGGTTTCCCTTTTTATTGTTCCCTCCCTCCCTCCCTCCCTCTGCCCCTTCCTCTCTCCCTCCCTCTAACTCCTGTAGCTACTTCAGTTTTAAATGATGTCTAGTTTATCATAGCATATAGACATTCTAAAAATAACCAGCCCTATTCCTCTACTGGTTTCATAAGTGAACATAAGAATTTCCCATCCCGTGTGCCATGGGCAATGGGGAAAGGTATGTTGTTTAGGTGTGTTTGCACACGAGCATGTGGGACACAGATACAGGAAGGTAGAAGTGTGCCCTAGCACCAACACGGCTGACAGCTAAAGTGTCGGATCTTATATGCTCCTGGCTCATCAACATGAAAAGATGGAAGGGAGTCCACTGAAAGACCCCTTCAGCCATGCGAGGCCACAGCCCATGAGCCCGACCTGATAATTTACAGATTAGATTACTCTCGTGTGCGGTCCGTCAGAAGCAGCAATGTCACTCATTAGTCCAGAGTGCTGAATGACACACTATTTAATTTGCTATTATCATTTTACCATCCCCCTACTTTTCAGATTGGCCCATCCTGGCACACATAGAAAGAATACAGCAATATTTTGTGCTGTTGGGATCCTGACCTGCCATGTGAAAGGGACTGAACTGGTTCCCCTTAGTCTTGCCAGCTTCCTGCTCCACCCTAAAATTCACCTTCGTCTGGGAGTCTCTCGCCAGCTAGGGACTCTATGGAAATATACAAGGCAACTTGGACTCTAAACGTTTAATCAGCAGAGTGGGGAAACAGAGAGACGTCACTCTGAAAATTGGCAAGAAGTGAAAATGAGCATTGTGACCAGGGTAAGGGAGCAGAAGCGGCTGAGCTCGGCCGTCTCATTACCCCAGGAAGCCTCTAATTCCAGGATGACAGCATCCTGGTAACCCCAGGTCGCATTTCCGATCCTAACAGGAAATGACAAACTATGTTGCTGACAGCTCCATTATACTGATTCAGGTAAGGAAGGGGCAGTTTCCCGAAATAGTGTCGGAGTGTTCATAGCAAAAAGGAGAGGTAGGAGGGAACAAAGCGCACGCTGTAACGCTGTAAGCCCCCGAGTTCACACAGAAGCTCCTGGTCTGGCTTCATTTTTGTTACTGTGATAAACTCTTCTTTAAAACGCAACCTCGAGGAGAAGCAATACCATGTCATGGTCCATTATTTGGGGGAACTCAAAACTCAGAGCAGGAACTTAAGAGCAGAGAGAACAAATTACACAGATCCTTGCCTGCCTGCCTGCCCCTCCACATGCCTTTAGCTAGCCTCCTTCACTCATACAGTCTAGGGTCCAGCTCGATGAACGGTGCCATCCACAATGGGGTGGGTTTTCCTACATCAATCAACCATCAAGGCCTTCCCCACAGATACACCTGCAGGGCAGCCTAATCTACATAATTCCTCACCCTCTTCGCAGAAGAGTGTTGGGGGCATCAAGCGGGCGGTGAAAACTACCCAGCGTGCTATCTTTTCTAGACTGATTTGTAGGATTCTTTAAGGGACATTGTTCAGAACTTTTGCTTTTGGTGTTTCCAGGGGTGGGTCTCTCCGAAGCCTCCCCAGCCTGTATACTGGGTTGGTTTGTTTATCATAAGACCTTGCTCCTTCTACCCCGTATGTCACCTTCCCCAGGACCACAAACTAGTCATATGAAAGACCTTGCATCTTCTGTCTACTCTATTGGACTTTTTCTCTGTATCCGAGATGGAAAAGTTTCAAATGTGTTCTTGTCCAGGCTGGTTTTTATTTGAGACAGTTGTGCCCTGATTATGGTACCATGCTCCCCTGTTCTCTCTTCATAGAACTCAATTCCTATTTCACCACTTACTGTCCCAGTGAATTCCCTTATGGCAAGTTCGAGACCATTTCCCACTGTTTTCTTCTAAATCTTCCTGCAGTAAAGATGAACCTTTGTAGATTCAAAGACATGGTTCTTACCCCTTATTCTGTAGTGTTTATAATTGCAAGCATACTTAGTATGTTATTTGTTCATGCTTGCTCTTTCTCAGGTGTGGCGATATCTCAGGTGATAACTCATGGGTAGGCAGATCTGTGACAAACCCCTGAAAAAGCTGAGGATATATATGGCTCATGATTCCAGACGTTTTAGCCCATGCTCAGCTGGATCCATGAGATGAAACAACAAGATGCCGGGAACAAGGTCTGTCACACATATGTCAACGAGCTTAATTTAGCTATTCCATGATGTCTATCAAAACAAGTTGAGCATCATAAATATATACATTTTTGACAATTTAAAATAAAAAATCAGAGCTGAAGCATCTGTATGCACATAAAAACTCCCACCAAAACTATTAGTTAGCTTTTAAGATTCCTTATCATCTTGGTTTGCGCATTCCTAAGGAATAAACCTCTCCACAAGTGCGCATGCGCACACAACAGACACAGACACAGACACAGACACACACACACACACACACACACACACACACTCTTCCAATAACAACTTGCAGTGTCATATTCCAGCGGTAGAGGGCAGTGGAGGACCAAGCTCTGTAGCGCCTAGCAGCAGCCCTTAAAGATAATCACACAAAGCTAGCCCGGGCATCAAGTCAGTGATGTCTCCGTCCACAGGTTCACTGTGAGGTCAAAGACTCCGTGTTCCCAAAGACCAGGCCTGTTTCCTGCGCTTCCTATATGCGTCAGACTTGAACAGCAAGAGGCTCTGAAGTCAAGACAACCAAGCCCTGCCAAGGCTAAGTGGTAAATACGCAGCGTAGCAGGGTTCTGCCACGGCTCTGAGTTTTCCCGTCTAACCTGTCGCATGGCTGATCCACACCTGTTTGACACCTCAATCATTGCCACACACACCAAGCTTCAGCCTCGCCGATCCCTTAGAACATCTCCCTCCTGTTCTTCCTGCCCTTTGTGCTAATCAAGGTTACAACTACCATCCCCTCACACTCCAGCCAAAAACTGACCAGAAGCCAGGACAGGTGTCTGGCTCCTGGAAACCCACGGACAACAGCGTGCATCCAAGCATCAGGAGCACCGGGACAGCCATGAAGGCCCTTGGGGGTGGGGGAGCTCTATCATTGGAGGCCATCAGAACCACCAGTTTCTCAATATTGAATTGTTTAAATCTTTCTCCTTCGTTTTATTTGCTTCTTTTAAAAGTTTATTTTTTGTGCTTGTAGTTATGCATGGGAGCTCATATATGTATCCATCGTAAAAATATTACATGTTACAAATGACCATCACTTTCTCAGAACCCCAAATCATAGAACCTCCCTAGAAGTAACTGTATTTACCAGTTTACCTTGAATCCTTCCAGACACGTTCTATGGGTTGGTATTCATGTACTCATATCAAGAATATTCTATACATGAATATTCTTATGCTAAAACTGATCAAATACACAGCTTCAGCTTTCCGGTGTTTGTTGTTGGGCCCTGACCATCTAAACCTACGTGCCAAATCCAGCTTACCACTTGATGTCATAGGAACCCTGGACAAAGAATTGGATTCTGCAATTTTTTTTTATGTCTAGAGAAAAAAAATCAAAAAAGAAAGGATTATTACAACATGGAAAATAATACAAAATTAAATTTTTAGTACTCAATTCAATTGGAATATCACTCCATTCATCAGCTGGTAGCTTTGAGTACAGCCATGTGTATGGCCCTTGACGCCAAAACAGATGCTGTCTACTATTTTCCCAGAAAAAAAGCACACTAAACTCTATTGAAGAACATTAATTTATAATTATTCTAATTTTAGTCTATAAATATATAATATTGTATGGACTCTGAATGTAAAGCTGAGAATCAGAATGTTGCAGCAGATTTACTTTTTAAGTATAATTAAAACAAATTGGCTTATTTTATAGTTTTGGCCCAAAACTGTATGGAAAATGTCTGGGTAAGGGATAATGAGAGACGGTATTTAGAATTGAACAACTTATCAATGCTGTGACCCCAGAGTTGTCCCCAAATTCCCCTGAAAAAAAAATGCTCCCAAGAACATGTGGCTACAAAATAGTTCTGATCAGAACAAACACACCCACATAGTTTGTGTGCACATGAGTGTACATGTCTACAGGGGTCGAAGAGGACAGCAGATCCCTGGAGGTAGAGTTAAGGGGGGCTGTGAGCAGCCTGATGGGTGCTGGGAACCAGGATCAGCCTCTGTCCAAGCACAGTGTATGTTCACAGTTGCTGAGCTATCTCTCCAGCCTCCCAAACAACAATCCTAAATTGATTTAAAAAAAAAAACTGAAAAATATGGTTGCATAAGCAAGAGCTGTTTTGTATAACAATTTCCTCAGAGATTGAAACATTCCATTCTGTAGGGACTCACCTTAAGCAGGAAGGTAAACAACTCACATAGCTTCAGGAAGTTCCTGAAACTAACAAGATTTACTAGGCTCCTCCCTCCCAGAGTAGACAAGTCAAGCTGAAAATAAAATGGCTCTCAGATGAGCTCTGCTGCAAAGAAGACTCTAAGATAGGAAGAGCTGCCAATAAAAGGGTTAGAACAACTGAGCCCCTTGGAAGGGACATTATCCAACCTGTTGAGCTGACTGACTGAAGGCTATGCAGTGTGCTCCAGGTTCCCAGCTTTTGTGTGCTGTTACCCATGCTGGAGTGGGTTTTGATGATGTATCTGTCTTTGAGTCATTCCTGCTCCTGTAAATAACCCCTCACCCATATTCCTGTAAATAACCTCAATAAAACTCATGGTTTTCCGAGTTGAACTGTGGTGGCATCCATATTTTGATTTGTCATGGGCTCGCTTGTAACGAGTCTTTTTCTGTTCCACCAGTCAGCTCCCAAATAATGACATGGAGACTTGCTATTAATTATGAAAGCTTGGCCTACAGCTTAAGGCTTGCTCCTAACCACCTCTTATGAATTAGATCAACCCCATTTATATTAATCTACATTTTATCACATGGCATTGCCTCTCTTCCACCTTGTACCTCGTGATTCCACGCCATGTCTCCTGTGTGCCTAGATTCCTCCGCCTCTTCCTTTCTCTCCCCAGAAATCCCACCTGTACCTCCTGCCTGACTGTTGATCTTTCAGCTTTTTATTACACCAATCACAGCAAAGCACCTACACACAGTGCACAAATGTTCCACAACTCTCCCTATTTGGGGTGAGTAGATGTATATAGTGCATCTTCCCAGGAAAAGTCTTCTCATGCAACACCTGTCTAATGACCATACCAGTTGGCATGCCAACACGGATGGAGGAAATTTCACAAGGCCCCACTCCCAAGAGAGGTGAACAATGGTTGCTGAGACAGACAGAGGCAGTTTTCTCCATGGACAAGCCTCTGCTAGGGTATCAAGCTCTAAGTGGTCAGCCCGTAAGCAACACTAAATGGAATCAAAAGGGTATGTGTGTGGGGGGGCATGCATACTCATGTGCACACATGCCCACATAAAACAATAATTGAAGAAGGGATCATGAGTGTTGGGGGACACAGAAGGAGTTGGAGGGAAAGGAAAAGGTGGAAATAATAACTATTGAAGGGCTATTAGTGCACTTAGCCATGTGGCTCTGGCAGGCCTTGCCCTTCCCCACATTCCCTCTGCCTTGCTAAAAGCCATTAGAGTCCAGTCCTAAAGCTGGCCATCAAAGTCTATTTCCTTATTTGGTCATGTCTTCCTCTTGTGGCTGACTACCAAGGTCCAGTTACTGAAGTATTGAAATCTAGCAAACAGAAGACCCCTTTGGCTCACCTAATTAACATGCCCAATTAATATTAAACACCTCATCCTAACACAGGCTTTCCCATTTTACCTTTGCAAACCACCATTTGCCCATGTGCCACATCTGTTTCCTCTCTATACAGAGACAGTCCGTTGTCTTTCTGGGACAAGTGCCCCTTCCTCCTTTTCCTTGTCCCTGCCTCCTTTTCTCTCATCCCCTATCTCCTTTCCCACCACATCCTAGCCCACTTTAACACACACCTTCCCTTTTCTTCCTCTCAAAAATTAACACCTGCAAGGTCATGTGCTGCTGCTTTTCTGCCTGAGTCAGAAAGCAGCCACTTTAACTTTTCTTTCCTGCTTAATCAAGGATCTCTCTGTAAAATCAGGTGTTTGGGTGTGGTTTGTGCCTAACCTGGGTCCAGGAGAAAGCCCCTGCTGTGGAAGGGGGGAGTACCCTTCAACTATAATAACTGAGAAATTCTCAAAAAAAATAGGAAATGCACAAAAATTTTGAATAGTGAAAAAATACACTGATAAATTGTCCAATAGGATATAGTAAAAATTTCTAATACTAACAGCAATATGCATATGCATATATATGTAGGCAGGTAGATAGATAGATAGATAGATAGATAGATAGATAGATAGATAGATAGACGGATGGATGCATAGATGGACAAACAGACAGACAGATATGTAGATGTTTATTTCCCTCATAGCCTTGCAAACATAATTGATTATCATCAATCTGGTGAAGAACTTACGTAAACATTCCCCTATTGATGAATATTTAAGTCCTGTTTATATGTTGTTTCCAGAGAATGAGCATCTTTTCACATTTATTGACCATTTTACATTTCTTCCCTACCTGTTAATACCCCTGTCTATGAAAACAAATCTATCTTAGTGCCCTTACATTTCTAACTCCCATATTTCTAGAGGTGGCAGGCTTCTTCCATATTTACCAAGCATTTTTATTTCATACTCTGCAAATTGCCTATTTATGCCCTTTGCCATTTTTCCTATTGAGTTGTTTGTCTTATTATTGAATTTAGAGATTTATTCTTGTTTAAGGGTCTCAAAGTGCGCCAGTTTTCAGAATGCAAACATAATCTGATGCCGCAATCTAAATTAAATCCTTGTCCAAGACAGTCCTGGGGTTAGCATATTGCCCTGTGTCTGTGTTGTACAGCTCCAATAAAGAGCAGAAAATTGCCAGGTGATAAATGAGTTATCTTGTCCAGCAAAAGCCACATGCCTCCTTTTTCTTCCTCTAAATAAGCTGTTCAAAGAAGAAAGGAAATTGATCATTAAAAGTAGCTGCTGGTTTTATCAGCAGGAATCAATAACAATGTAAATCAATTTGGAGCTGTATTAGTCAGAACTCTGGAAGAGCAGAACTGATAGAATGAATATATAGATGGGATCAGAGTGGTTTACAGGCTCTGGTCTGCTAGTCCAACAATGGCTGTCTGCCAAGAACGTCCAAGAGTCCAGTAATTGTTCAGACCTCGAAGCTGGATGTCTCAATTGACCTTCAGGATACACCGAAATCTGAAGAAGTAGACTGTAATGCCAGTGAAGGAATGGGCTTGCCAGTAAGAGCAAGCAGATAAAGAATAGAGCACTTTCTTCTTCTATGTCCTTTATACAGGCTGTTGCAAAAAGTTACAGCCCAGATTAAAGGTAGATCTTCCCACTTCAAATGATTAAATTAAGAAAATTTCCTCCTAGGTGCACCCAGCCACTTGAATTTTAGTTAATTCAAGAAGTAGTCAATTTAACAACCAAGAATAACACAGGAATTCAGACAGCTCCCACATGTTTTAAGCATCCATGTGAGTGTGTGTGTGTGTGTGTGTGTGTGTGTGCGTGTGTGTGTGTGTGTGTGTAGTGATGACAGTGAATTCTTGAGAAGACAGAAAAGAAATGTCCAGATACTCCTAAGGAAGTAAAACCAGATCAGCTCACCAAGAGGAGGGCAGAGGTTCCTTCCCAGGGCCATGTGTTGAAGCCATACTGTTGGGGGAGGCCGCTCATTCATTCCCAGCTGCCCAGACCTGAAATTTTCACTCAGAAACCATATTATTTGCAATACTGTTTGGCCAATAGCTTAAGCATATTTCCAGGTAGCTCTTATATCCTAAACTAACCCATCTCCATTAATCTGTGCATCACCACGAGGTCATGGCCTACTGGCAAAGTTTTGATAGGCTCCAGCAGAGGCATAGTCTCTGGGGGGGGGCTATATGGCTTCTCTTTCTTCTCCACCTCCTTTCTCCCAGCACTCAGTTTAGTTTTCCTGCCTAGCTCTATTCTGCTAAGCCACTGGCCGAAACAGCTTTATTCATTAACCAATAAAAGCAACACATATACAGAAGGACTTCCTACACCATTTCCCCTTTTCTGTCTAAATGTAAAGGTTTTGACTTTAACATAGCAATTTTACATATAACAAAACAAATATCAAGCAAAAATTACAGTTGCAACATTTATATCTACTTTATCTTTTATCATAACTAAGGAAAACTATAATTATAACTATCTATTCTTCCACTCCATCAAAGACTCCAGAAGGATATAATATTACCTAAGTAAACAGAAAGTGCATTGTAAGCAACTTTCAAAACTCTAGAATTAATACAGACATCTCGCTGCCTCGACAGCCACCCAAAGTTCTTATGTAACATTGGGGCATCCAATTTTCAGCCTACAGGCTCGTAGTATCCAGAAGATTTTTCCATAAAGCAAGAAATTCAAAGTTATGCTCTGCCTTGTAATGGCAAAATTCATCAGTTTCTTTCTTCTGTATCCTGCAGAATGTCTGGCAGACTCTTTCATGAAGCAGGAATCCTGATGGACTGTCTTACCATTTTTAGGCAACTTCAGCAGTCTCTTTTCTGTGGGTCCTGCAAGTCTAGTCAAACAGTTCGGGCAAGAGCAATTTCTTGCCCAAATGACTAACAAACTCCATGAGGCACCATCTTCAATGCCAGGAGCAGTTGTATCTCATTGTTGCGAAAAGTTCTAAGTTTTTAAAACATTTTAAATGCCATATTCTGAAGGTCTCTGAAAGATTTGAAGAATACCTATATATCTATATATAGATATACATAATCTATATATAGATATAGAGATACATCTAGAAAAAAACTAACTAAAATGACTACAAGCTTGACTATTATAGATGACTATCTATTAACCTGTATTTCTTAATTATACATTACATTTTTAAATGAGCTGCACAAACACAATACCTTAATAAAGAGCAGAAATATACATATAAAAATTGATGTAAAATTTGCATCAATAGACCAAGATCCATACCAATGCAAAGTATTGATCTTTATATCATATCCCCCTTTAAATGTAAAAACATTTATAAACAATATTTGGGAATTTGGGTATAGTTCTCTTCAAACTGCTTCCTGCTTTTTGTTAGGCAGTCATTTTTGGGAGTGTTTACAGAGACTTTTTGGGGGGTCTTGGTTCATCAAACCACATTAGTCTAGAAGGAATTCATAGGTTCTCATCCTCTGTGGAAACAAAAGAAGAATCTCTTTTCCAAAGCAACAAATCCTTAGACCCAAATTTTGAAGTCAAGATCCCTTTAAAATATGTATGTTGGCTTAGCTTAGCAACCCATACAATGAAATGTTTCTCTGTACTTAGCTCCTTCACAGTCAAAAAATTCAAAGAAAACACAAAAATATACATAATCTAGACTCTCTGTGTATATTCCATCTTTAAGTGGCTTATTTTTCTTTATTCCTTTAATCTGTGACTGTCTGTACTCTGTCTCTTTACAGACTTTATTTTATTTTTTATAACCATTTACTTCCTTTTATATTCTATATTCTACATAATATGTCTACATTCTTTTCTTCTCTCTCTCAAGCCTACATACATTTATCCAACACTGTGACCCATTTAGAGGTCTTTTCTATCTGAATTTGTCTTTATTATGTATTTGTAATCCTTTCCTGACCAGGACCACTTCTTAAAATGCAAAACAGCATGGTTAGGACTAAGACTGCTTTGCCTTCTGGCTCCGCCCAGTCCAACATGGCAGAGGCATGTTCACTGCCTCTGAGACTGCCAGGTGGGAGTCTTACCACCTCAACTCTAGTAACCAGTTGGCCCATGCTGCCACTAAGTAACTTGGAGCTGGGGACTTTGGGAGATAATTAGGTTTAGATGAGCACATGGGAGTGAGGGTCAAATGATGGGATTTGTGCTCCCCATAAAAGACCCCAGAAAGCTTTCCCTGTCTCTCCCACATATCCCCCATCTTCCTGGGATTTGAGGACATAGAAATAAAGGGAAATTCCACAAGCCAGAAAGGAGACCGTGGCCAGAAATTGACCATGCTTGCACTTTGACCTTAGATTCCAGCCTTTGAACCAACCCTTCTATGCTATTTTATTATGTGGCCTGAGCTAATACTTAAACCAGGTAATGGAAGGAGAAGAGACATGTACCTAGAACTGAACTTGTAGCCACATCTCAGGCAGGAGAGGTAAGGAGGTCCAGAGAGGGTTTGAGCAAGCCTTTAGACATATCGAAAGACACTACATGTTCTAAAAGAAAGGACCTAGGAAAGAAAGATAAGGATGCTATTAGTGTAGGGTAAAAAAAGTCTGAACTCACTTCCAGGTTTCAAATCCTATCAATCCCTGAGCTTGAAAACCCACCAATCTCTAAGCTTGCCCCAAACTCAGGACTTGAAATCCCACCAATCTTTACCTTAGGAAACTTCATCCTCATTTTCTTGAGTGAGAGCAAGAAACCTATTTAAGCCTGTATCCTGCTCAGTTTCCTGCTGCTTCTCACCCAAGCCAAGGCAGCCACCCTCTTGTGTCTTTCCGTGAAGCTCTTGTGTAAAGTTTGTTGTGTGGTGTGACTTTGTGGTATTCCTGGGCTCCCAACTTAGGGAAAGCTTTCCCTTCAGAGCTGTAACACAGTTGGGAGACATCCGGCTTAGGACCGAGAAGGCCGGCCACAAGTGACTAGACAGTAGATTGCCAGGAGGAAGATCCTTTCTTCTCTTAGCTCAGTCACCCCAAGGCTATGAATTGGAAAAGACACACTAGCTCCCCAGTTCATCCTCGGGAAAGGTCTGCAGCCTGTTTTGAAGCCCATAAAAACAGCAAACTGTTATCTCCAACACACACAACCGTATCACTTAGGACTTAGGATATGGCATTCATGTCCCCAGTCCCCAGTCCCCAGGCGTAAACTCATTGCATCTGGAGCCTAGCCCCTGCCACATTCTAATGATCTGAGGTCTGGTCTCTCTCAGCTATCTCTTGTCTATGTCCTCTTGAGGTTATTCTTTCCCTCCATAAATTGTACCTCAGAAACTTAACTGCAGTCACAACCGTTTGCATCAGATCAAGCCTGATGCAAGATACCTTACAAAAGACTGACAGCAAGACCAGATGCGTCAAAATGTCCTCTTGTCTTTGAGGTTTGATGCTTCCAGCTCATTGACACTGATGGGTATCGCTTCTCCATCCCAATGCTCCCCTGTGTGGTTTAGTCTCTTCTGTGCCCTCCCCTCTGCATTGGGAGTCGAAAGCATGCTAGAGGCTTGAAGGCACAGCAGTGATACTGGACTCAACCTTTGCTCCCAGGTCCTGTGCCAATCAGCCTTTCTGCATGCCTGGCGACCTCTACCAAAATGGTTTCATTTCATCACTTTTTAAATAATGAAAACAGACATATCGACCCATCTGTCTCAATTACAAGTCAACAAAGAAGATTCAGAGTAAATATGACAGCTGTCTCCAGACTGCGTGAATCGGCTTGCTGGAACACAGACATAACAAATGTCCTCTTACCTCCCTCCCACCACATGCTCCCCACCAAGCCCATCTCCTGTCACTCCTAAGACCCCAGTGATCCCACCAATGTATAAACAATAAGCCTGAAGCAAGTTTCCGGGGCTAAGTTAAACCCACGCTGCCTGTGGCCTGGTTTGTGATGAATGATTGCGGATCTTAGAAAATGCTACGTGTCATACATTACCCAGGGAACAACCTCTTGGTGTCAGCTTTAAAAATAAATGGTTTCCAAGAGGAGTCTTTTTGAAAATCCCCCAAGACAACACAGGAGTCCAGTGTGTAGACTTTTTTGATAAACTCAGAGAAAAGGAAATAGTCCTGTATAGTTAAGATTGCAGACAGTCCCCTAAGGTCTGACTACTGGATCAAGCCTGGTGGATGCAGGGCAGGCAGTATGTGTTAGCCCAGCCATGTTTGCAATCAAGACAAGTTAGATGAACCCAACTCCTCTGTCATTATCCTGCCAAACCAGAAACTATACAGAGAACTGGCTATACAGAAAGAATATAATCTTTGACCTCAGCAAAGTTGCTGAACTACCTCAATTTCTCCACTGGGATTAATATGGGTGCAGCTTAGAGAAATAGTCATGTATATCTACTGATGATACTCCACACAGACAAGAGTTTACTCACACCTCAGCTTCTCCCCAGAGTCCTTGGCTATTCTCTCCCAGAAGAATAGACACCCCTGCTCAGACCATCAGTTCAAATACTCAGGTCACTAAGCACAATAATATTAGGACTCCTTCCCCCACAGCTGAATGTTGGTAAGCTCTTCCAATAGTCAGATCAGATCTGTTGCTTCTGATACTGGATACTGACGTTCTATTACTAAACCTATTCCCTCTCCCTCCCATAATCCCCGAGTGAGCAAAATACACTAACACACAGTAGTTGACTACACACAAGTGGTCTGCCTTGAAAAATCATACAAAATGATATGACAAACAACCACTCTAAGCTTTGTAACCAGCATCCGGACCAAAGATGTCCGGATTTCTTTCCTGAGTTGCTTGAGCCAAGAGATTCATCAGTGGGGAAAGTGGTTCAAGTGACACAGAGACCACACCACCCACGATCCGCAGGTGACAGCCACCCAACATCAGCAAGCACACAAGAAGGCCAGGAGAACGCTCAGTCCCAATCTTGATGTTGTCATAGGGTCACTTTGGGACTCTGTTCTTTTTCTGTTTTACCTTTTTCTTTTGTAGGTGAGAACACTGGCTTCCTCCCCCAGAAAGACCAGGCTGAGGTGTCCCTAACGAGGGGACCTGGTAGTACTTTATTGCTGTCCAGCATGGAACATCCTGTCCTCATTAGCCCATGTGGTTTCCTCCCCTCAGAACCAGCAGCAGGCAGCTCAGAGAATACAGACACCCACAGGCCTGTCAGCTCTGTGGTCAGGGGTCACATGGAGGTGTCCTCACTGTTCATCTGAAAACAATGCTGCAGCTCTCTTTGTTCCAGTCATAAGTAATTTACTTAGGACAGTTAATAAAAGCCAGGCATTATCAGCTTATTGGCGGATTACCAAGCACAGCGGTGTTCCTCCATTAACGCTGCGGCAGCGTTTCGTGGCTTTTGTGATTCAGGCACCTACAGCGGAACTCATGGCCAAAGAATAGCACGAATGGACGGTAAAGACCTGTGCCTACCCAAAAGATGGGGGAAATTCCGTCTTGGACCCCCTTTAACTTCTGCTGTTCTACTTGTCTTCTGGCTTGCAGCCGTTTAAGATGAGCCGATTCTCAGATAAAATTACCCCGTCTTTGAAACACAACAAAATATTCTTCAAAGTAACTTATGGAGACTGCGTGAGGAACTCGGAAAGGGGCCACATTTCCAATTCGGAGACCCTCAACCCAGTACTTCCTTTTCCCTGCCTCCTTCTTCTCCCCGCTCCTTCTCTTGCAATGAGAAGTTGTTCCTCATGCTAGGAGCCAGAAGGGCAAAAGCTCTCGCTTCACCCGGACCCATAAGAAGAGGGTGAGGGTGTTGGCCACTCTGTTCTTGCGCAGATGACCAGAGACCCAGAATAGCACACTGTGCCCTGTCCCCACAGCTGCCTCTCATAACAAGCGTCCAGAAAAGCAGATACAATGGAAGAATGAAACCTGGAAACTGTTTTACTAAAGGCTTTCTAATGCCTGGCATTCCAAAAAGAGATCTATTACAAAATGCTGTGTTAAGGGGCTGGAGAGATGGCTCAGGGGCTAAGAGTGCACACTGCTCTGGCGTAGGATTCAAGTTCAGTTCTCAGCACTTCCACCAGCAGGCTCACAACTGGCTGCTGAAACTCTAGTTCCAGAGGATCTTCCGCTCTCTTCTGACCACCACAGGTACTACACAAGCGCACAAACCCATACACAGACACACATAAAACACATAATTCATATTCAATGATAGTTTAATAGTTTTAGATGCTGAGCCAGAACAAGCAGATTCTATTGCAGTGCTGACATGACTTTCTCTTTCCTCCAAACCCATGTGCACACATGAATGCTAACTTCCACGCGTTGTTCCTCAGGTGCCATCCACCTTGTTTATTGAGATAAGGTCTCTCACTGGCCTGGGTTCACCAAGTAGTCCTGGCAGGCTAGCCAGCAAGCTCTGGAGAGTCACCTGCCTTCATCTCCCTAGCACTGGGAATACAAGCACACACCATCATGTCTACCTTCTTAAGTAAGTCCTGGGGGTTGAACTCAGGTCTACGGGCTTGCATACCACATGAACTACGCTCCCCAGTCTAGGACACAACAGGTGAAGAAAACATGTCACATTATCTCAGAGAATCCTTTCTATTCGATGAGCTTCAACGCTCTACGGGGTCAACATGCCCAGAGCTGAAGCACCTGAGGAACATCAAACTGAGGATGAACACAGACTGTTCCGTTCCGACCTAAAAGCAGGGCAGAGATTTATCCATGGGAAAGCTGTCCTCCCTTATCCAAGAAGAGAAACACGTTCTTGCCGCTGGAAATGAAGCTGAGCCGAGATGAATCCTCACAGAAAAGCCTACTGATAGACGCTCTAGCTTTCTCCACAGATGCCTGCAATACACAAAGACCCACTGAATTCCTCCATGGTCTCCAGTTCTCCTCCCAAATTTTGCTATCCCTACATTGAACCTCTTTCCTCTGTCTTGTCAAAAACTATGAATTTCACCACCCTACGTTTAAATCGTCTACTAAGTCTCACGGTAGCCAATTCTTTGGTCTTCATTTCTTTTCTTTAAAGATTCTTATTCTATGCATCAATGTATCAGATAAACCGTGCATATTACTCCTCCCCCATTTCCTCTGAGTTTTGTCAGTTTAACCGGAAACATGAGACAGGTGACAGGTATGTCATAGTGCTGCTCAGCCAACCGCACACAGGAGCCACATCCCCACTTTTCAGATACGTCAAAATAAGAAAGTATGCATCACAGAGTAAATAAAATATGGAAATAAAGAATATGTCAGAAAATAGTGGATCAGAAAAGAAAGATAGATACTGGGGTTGAAGAGATGGCTCAGTGGTTAAGAGCATTGCTGCTCTTTCAGAGGACCTGGGTTTGGTTACCAGCATCCACGTGGTGGCAGACAACTGACTATAACTTCAGTTCCAGGGTATATAGTGCCCTCTTCTGGCCTCCATGTGCACTGCACACACACATAGTACACATATACACATGCAGGCAAGACATTTGCACACACAAAATATAAATAAATCTTTTGCGCAAGAAAAGAAATATACCATAGGAATATAGACAATGCCAAAATGAGACTTGGAAAAGATGAGTAAGCAAGTTCTGGGAAAGTTAATCTGAAATAAAATTTTCAATAAAATAATTAAGACTCAATGTTAGTAATACAAAAATCACATACAAATGTGTGTGTGTGTGTTGTCAGGTATTTAAAAGATAATGCTATGATATTATTAAAATATATTTTAAAATTTAGCTAAATACAGAACTCACAAGAATCTTTTATCAACATTGAGTCAACTAGAAATATAACCCCTGAATATTTCCATGAGTACTAAAGCAATTAAGAATTAAGAATTCAGTCAGGAGGTGGTGGCACACATCTTTAAGTCCAGCACTCAGGAGGCAAAAGCAGGCAGATCACTGAGAGTTCAAGGCCAATGTGGTCTACAGAGTGAGTTACAGGTCAGGCAAGGCTACACAGAGAAATCCTTTCTCAAAACAAACAAAATCAAGAATTCTCACCAAGGCAAAAAAAAAAAGTCAGAGAAATCACAAAATCCAGACAGTTTATAGGAAAATCATATCAAATTCCCAAGACATAAGCCTCCACATTGTTTTACAAACTTTTTCCAGTTACCAGTATAAGTGCTTAAATGCCTTAATTTAAATTGACTGGTCTAATAATAATATAAAAACTCCATAAGATCAATACAAGAAGATAAAATTATAAGCCAATCATGTTCATAAATGCAATCCAAAAAAGCTAAACAGAATGTTAGAAAACAGAGTCTAGAATTTAATAGGGATAATTCTATAACCCTAAACTGGACACTTTCCAGGGACATAAAAGGGTAATGATGTTAAGATGATATCATTATTAGTCGTATTAATAGATTAAATTAGAAGCCGAAGGCAATGTTGTAGTCACATTAATAGATTTAATTTAAAACTAAAATTATTTCAGACACAGGAAAAGCATTTGACAATGTTCTACATATATTTACAAGAAATTAAAAAATGTTTTAGTCTCAGAGAGGATCTCTCTCTCTGACTCATCACAAGCATCAAAAGAAGCATTATTTTTAAAAACAAGAAACAGAAATAA